TGATGCAGGGACACAAGGGGGGATGCAGGGACACAAGGGGGGGATGCAGGAACACAATGGGGGGATGCAGGGACACAAGGGGGGATGCAGGAACACATGGGGGGATGCAGGGAGACGCACGCCCGCCGCACACCCGTGCCCACCGTCGCTGTCCCCGCAGCGGTGCCTACTCGCTGACGCTGCGGGAGCTGTCGGTGCGGGCGCTGGGGCTGCGGTCCCTGCAGGAGATCAGCAGCGGGATGGTGCTGGTGCACCACAACCCCCAGCTCTGCTTCCTCCAGAAGGTGCCGTGGGGCAGCATCTTCCGCAACCCCCGGCAGCGCCTCTTCCAGACCCACAACAAGCCCCCGAGCAGTGCGGTCAGTGGCACCCATGGGATGGTGGGGACGGGAGCTGGAGGAGCCCCCCCCCCCCCGTTGATGCTCATTGTGTTCTGGTGCAGAGAGCGAGGGGTTGGTCTGCTTCCACCTCTGCGCCCATGGGCACTGCTGGGGCCCCGGCCCGACCCAGTGCGTGGCCTGCGAGCGGTTCCTGCGGGGCCAGGAGTGCGTCGCCTCCTGCAACCTCCTGGAGGGGTGAGGACTGAGCCCAGGGGACAGCGCTTTGGGGGGCCCGGGACCCCCATCCCATGCTCCCCTTCTCCCCCGCAGAGCCATCCGGGAGCACGCCAACGGCACGCGGTGCCTGCCCTGCCACCCCGAGTGCCAGCCCCAGAACGGCACCGAGACCTGCTTCGGACCGGTGAGCATGGGGGGCACACGCACAAGAAGGGGTGTCCCCGAATTCCCAGCTCCCTCCAACCACCCCGTTCCCATAGGAAGCGGACCAGTGCGTGGCTTGTGCCCACTACAAGGACGCGCAGCAGTGCGTGCGCCGGTGCCCCAGCGGGGTGAAGGCGGACGCCTCCTTCGTTCCCATTTGGAAGTATCCGGATGAAGACGGCGTTTGCCAGCTCTGCCCCACCAACTGCACCCACTCGTGAGTTTGGGGGGGGGTGGTGGGTCCCAGCACAGACAGGGGGCTGTGGGGGGGCTGCTGATGGTGGCAATGCTGCACGCTGTGTCCCTAGGTGCACGATCCGGGATGAGGACGGCTGTCCCGTGGACCAGAAGCCAAGGTACGAGCGCGGGTGCCCTGTGCCACCCTGACCCCCATCACTATGGGTGGTGGTGGGGGGGGTTCCTCCAGCCTGGACCCCCCCCCCGCCACCCCATCACCCATCTCCCCATTGCTGGTGCTGCCCTGCAGCCAGGTCACGTCCATCATCGCTGGCGTGGTTGGGGCTCTGTTGGTCGTGGTCCTGCTGCTCATCACCGTTGTGTGCGTGAAGCGCCGGCGGCAGCAGGAGCGCAAGCACACCATGCGGCGCCTGCTGCAGGAGACCGAGGTGGGGATGCTGGGACCCGCATGGGGATGGACCCCGCAGCACCCAGCGGTGCCAGGAGCGGGGTCCCCCCTCATCCGTGTGTACCCCACAGCTGGTGGAGCCGCTGACGCCCAGCGGGGCCCTCCCCAACCAGGCCCAGATGCGGATCCTCAAGGAGACTGAGCTCAAGAAAGTCAAGGTCTTGGGCTCCGGCGCTTTCGGCACCGTCTACAAGGTGAGGGGCGGTGGTGCCGCCGGTGGGCTGCCGCCGGCCCCGCTCCGCACCCTTCACCCCTGTGTGTGTGGGTGTCCCCCCGCAGGGCATCTGGATCCCCGACGGGGAGAGCGTGAAGATCCCGGTGGCCATCAAGGTCCTGCGGGAGAACACATCCCCCAAAGCCAACAAGGAGATCCTGGACGTGAGTGCGACCGCGGTGCCGGCGGGCGAGCGGTGCCGGCGGCGGCCCCTGCCCCGTCCTCACCCCCTTCCTTGCTGCCCACCACAGGAGGCCTACGTGATGGCAGGGGTGGGCAGCCCCTACGTGTCCCGGCTGCTGGGCATCTGCCTGACGTCCACGGTGCAGCTGGTGACGCAGCTGATGCCCTACGGCTGCCTCCTGGACTACGTGCGCGAGAACAAGGACCACATCGGCTCCCAGGACCTGCTCAACTGGTGTGTGCAGATCGCCAAGGTGAGGTGGGGAGCCTTGGGGTGCCGGTGGTGGTGGTGGTGCTGGTGGGGGGTTCATGGACCCAGCCTGACCCGCGGTGCCCCCCATCCACCAGGGGATGAGTTACCTGGAGGAGGTGCGGTTGGTGCACCGGGACCTGGCCGCTCGCAACGTCCTCGTCAAGAGCCCCAACCACGTCAAGATCACCGACTTCGGGCTGGCGCGGCTGCTCGACATCGATGAGACCGAGTACCACGCCGACGGCGGCAAGGTGGGAGCTGGGGGGGCAGCCATGGGGAGCGCAGTGCCCCCCCTTTCCCCAAACTCCGCATCCCGCTCACCCCCACATCCTCCCTGTGCCAGGTCCCCATCAAGTGGATGGCGTTGGAGTCCATCCTCCGCCGGCGCTTCACTCACCAGAGCGATGTCTGGAGCTATGGTACATTGGGGTGGCCCCACATTGGTGCTGGGGGGGGAAAAGGGGGGGGGCTCAGGGGTATCGCTGACCCATGGCCCCATCCCTGCAGGCGTCACCGTATGGGAGCTGATGACGTTTGGGGCGAAGCCCTATGAGGGGATCCCTGCCCGGGAGATCCCGGACCTGCTGGAGAAGGGCGAGAGGCTGCCGCAGCCGCCCATCTGCACCATCGACGTCTACATGATCATGGTGAAATGTACGGGGTCGGGGGGGGGGACACACACACACAGGGGGACAGGGACACGGGATGGGGCCGGGGCGCCGCGGTGGCCCCCGGCTCCTGGCCCTGATGGCGCTGGGCTCTGCCGCAGGCTGGATGATCGACTCCGAAAGCCGGCCCAAGTTTCGGGAGCTGGTCACCGAGTTCTCCCGCATGGCCCGGGACCCGCAGCGCTTCGTGGTCATCCAGGTACACGGGGTCCCCATGGGGTCCTGTGTCCCCCCCACCCCATAGCACCCCAATGTGGGCTCTGAGCGCTCTGCTTTCCCCCCCACACACACACAGAATGACCTGGCCGGGCTGCCTGGCTCCATTGACAGCACCTTCTACCGGGCCCTGCTGGAGGAGGAGGACATGGAGGACCTGGTGGATGCTGAGGAGTACCTGGTCCCTCACCACGGCTTCTTCAGCGCCGAGACCTCCACCACCTACCGCAGCTGCATCTCCTCCATGCGGGTAAGAGAGCTTGGGGTGAGGTACCCACGGTGCCAGCGCCCTCGGTGCCAGCACCCAACTGCGTCCTCTCCTCACCCAGAGCACAGCAGAGACCCCGGTGGACGCAGAGGAGGGCGAGGGCTTGGCCCCCTTCCCCTTCCCACCGCAGGGCCTGGCGGAGGGGCCGGAGGGCCCCGTGCTGGAGCCCCCGGAGGGGGATGCCGGGGTGAAGGCGGCCCTGCAGAGCCCGCTGGCGGCGCGGGAGCCCATCACCGTGCCGCCGCGGTACAGCGAGGACCCCACTGCGCTGGCGGCCGAGGACAGCGAGGAGCCTGAGGGCTTCAGCCCGGCGCCCTGCAGCACCATGCCGGGTAGGGAGAGGATGATGATGATGGGGCCATGCGGGAGCTGCTGCCCCATCAGCAGCCTCCATCGCCCCTAACGCAGCCCTTGCTCCCCACAGAGTACGTCAACCAGGCTGAGGAGCGGCGGTCGCCACCGCGGCACCCCCGTGGCCCCCCGTCCCCCCCGGACAAGCCCAAGGGGCACCAGGGCTTGAAGAACGGGCTCATCAAGGAAGCCAAGCACCCCTTTGGGCACGCCGTGGAGAACCCCGAGTACCTGGCACCCCCCGGTGCCCCTTTCAGCCAGGCCTTCGACAACCCCTACTACTGGAACCAGGACCCCCCCAAAGCCCCCGGCCCCGAGGGGGGCCCTGGCACGACACCCACGGCCGAGAACCCCGAGTACCTCGGCCTGGCCGGCCCCGACAGCGCCGCGGCGTAGGGCCACGGAGCCCCCATCACTTCACAGAGGCAGCTTGGGGAGGGCCAGCACGAGGCGAGACACGGATGTGGGGCCGGCGGCTGTGCCCAGCGCTGTGGGGTGACACCGGGCACGGATGCTGTGGGGCAGCGAGGCGTGGGGGACACCCCCCCCCCGCATTGGTGTGGGGGGGACCCACAAGCTGGATGGTGCTGGGACTGCAACGGGGAGCAGGAGACGCTGTCAGCATCGCCCCAATGGCTCCTCCGGCAGCAGGGCTCCCGCTGTGCCCCGCCACCGCTGCCCTCCTTCCCCGGTGCGCAGCAGCACCGGGACACACCGGACTTGCACTGAGGCGGGCGCCGGGCGCGTGGCCCGGCCCCGAGCGGGTTCCTTGGAAGCCGAGATGTATATTTGGTACCTGTACATTGGGTTTTTGTACTCCCCTGGTCTCTGTGGTTCCTGCGCCAGCTCCCAGGCGTAGCTCATCCATCCCTTGGGGGCAGCGTGGGGCAGGACCCACCTTTACCTGCAGGCTCCAAGCCTTCATCTCCCCTTTCCCCGTCCCAAGGCAGGAGCCAGGACCTGCTCTGACCACGCTCCCGTGCCTTGGGGCCCGTCAGGGACACGAGAGGGGCCACGGTCTCCTCCGTCCTTTATTCCTGCCTTTACACCCGGTACAGAAGAAACGGGGGCCCCTGGGCCGGCTCAGCCGCCCCATGGCAAAGGGCAGAGTCATTCCAGGCAGCAGGGGAGAGCCAAGAGCCTGAGAATGGGGCGGGGGGGGGCATTAACCAAACCTCTTGGCTATGGGGCCGGGCTTCCCGTGGCCTCGCACTGGTTTAAACAGTGCCAGGAGAGGCTTTAATCATTAACGAGTCCCAGCCAGCGCTCGGCCCTGCAAGCACCCAGCCTGGCTCTCCCTGACCCCCAAATCCCCCCCCACCCCACACTGCTGGGTGCTGCAGGGGAACCACGCTTGCACCCCACAGCAGGGATGTAACACACCCCCCCCCCCCATGGCACAGCCGGTACCGCAGCTCTCACCCCCCCCCCCCCGGTGCCCCACTGGCAGTGCTGGGGGGGGGGGGGGGCTCTGCCATTCAAAGCCACGCAGGGAGCTGAGGACGGCGTCGAGGCGCGAAGCGGGGGGGCTCGGAGGCCGTGGGGCTACAGGAGGGTGCAGGGGGGGCGGCTGGAGGTGATTTTCTCCAGGGGCTCCCCATTCCTCGCCCTGCGGATCGCTTCGATGAGCTGGGGAGGCAGAGAAGGGGTCAGAAGCCCTTGGAAAGGGGAAGGGAGGGGGGGTACGCAGAGGCTGGGGTGCAGCACGGGCTCGGATCACGGCCATGCTGGAGGGGGGGGGGCTCTCGAGCCCCTGGGACCGCATGGCAGAGCCCCTGGGACCCCATGGCAGAGCCCCTGGACCCCATGGCAGAGCCCTTGGGACCCCATGGCAGAGCCCCTGGGACCCCATCGCAGAGCCCCTGGACCCCATGGCAGAGCCCTTGGGACCCCATGGCAGAGCCCCTGGGACCCCATCGCAGAGCCCCTGGGACCCCATGGCAGAGCCCCTGGGACCCCATGGCAGAGCCCCTGGGACCCCATCGCAGAGCCCCTGGGACCCCATGGCAGAGCCCCTGGACCCCATGGCAGAGCCCCTGGGACCCCATGGCAGAGCCCCTGGGACCCCGTGGCAGAGCCCTTGGGACCCCATGGCAGAGCCCCTGGACCCCATGGCAGAGCCCCTGGGACCCCATGGCAGAGCCCCTGGGACCCCGTGGCAGAGCCCTTGGGACCCCATGGCAGAGCCCCTGGACCCCATGGCAGAGCCCCTGGGACCCCATCGCAGAGCCCCTGGACCCCATGGCAGAGCCCCCCGGTACTCACGTCCTTCTCGTAGGGGAAGCCGCCGTTCTCCAGCTTGGAGAACACGAGCTGCCCGTTGATCTCGATCTCGAAGGCACCTTGGGGGCAGGGGGGGGCTGAGCTGTGAGCACGGCACCGGGACCCCCCCCAACTCCCTGTACCCCCCCCCAGCCCCTCACCGGTGCCCCCCAAGCGGGACTCGATCTCGATGTCCGGGTACTCCTCCCGCACGGCGCTCGCCAGCTCCTGGTACGTGGGCTCGAAGCCGCAGGGCTCGCTAAGGGAGGGGGGGATGGGGGGAGGCAGCATCGGCACCCCCAGAGCCTGACCCATGGCACCCCCTGCACTGCCCCCCCCCGTATCCCATTGCCCCACATACCCCCCTTCACCCCCCACCCCACATCCCCCCTTTCACCCCCCAACTCCCCTTACCCCACATCCCCCCCATTACCCCCCAACTCCCCCTACCCTATATCCCCCCTTCAATCCCCCCCACATCCCCCCCTTTACCCCCCACCCCGCACCCCCTCTTCACCCCCCAACTCCCCCTACCTCACACCCCCCTTTCACCCCCCAACTCTCCCTACCCCACATCCCCCCACCCCACAAACCCCCTTCACCCCCCAACTCCCCCTACCCCACATCCCCCCTTCACCCCCAACTCCCCCTACCCCACATCCCCCCTTCACCCCCCAACTCCCCCTACCCCACATCCCCCCCACCCCACAAACCCCCTTCACCCCCCAACTCCCCCTACCCCACATCCCCCCTTCACCCCCAACTCCCCCTACCCCACATCCCCCCTTCACCCCCCAACTCCCCCTACCCCACATCCCCCCCACCCCACAAACCCCCTTCACCCCCCAACTCCCCCTACCCCACATCCCCCCTTCACCCCCAACTCCCCCTACCCCACATCCCCCCCACCCCACAAACCCCCTTCACCCCCCAACTCCCCCTACCCCACATCCCCCCCAACACATATCCTCCCTTCACCCCCCATCCCCCACCCCCCTTCACTCCCCATCCCCCTTCACCCTCCCACCCCACATCCCCCCCTTCACCCCCCTACCCCACATCCCCCTTTCACCCCCAACTCGCCCTACCCCACATCCCCCCCACCCCACATCCCCCCTTCACCCCCTGCCCCACACCTCCCCCTTCACTCCCCCCACCCCACATCCCCCCTTCACCCCCAACTCCCCCACCCCACACCCCCCTTTCACCCCACATCCCCCCCTTACCCCCACTCACCAATACTCCACCACGATCCGGACCCGCCGCTCGCCCCCGGTACCGGCCCCGTCCCCGTCCCCCATCGCCGCCGGGCCCCTCTCTTCCGGGTGCTGGCGCTTAGGGTACCGCTTCCGGCCGCGCTGCGCTTGCGCCCCCTGCTGGCGGGAGGACCGCACAGCGCCTGGCCCGCATCGACCCCTATGGGACCCGCATCGACCCCTATGGGACCCGCATCGACCCCTATGGGACCCACATAGACCCCTATGGGACCCACATCGACCCCTATGGGACCCACATAGACCCCTATGGGACCCGCATCGACCCCTATGGGACCCACATCGACCCCTATGGGACCCGCATCGACCCCTATGGGACCCACATCGACCCCGTGAGCCGCTCTTAGACCCCAGGGATCCCCTCCCAGACCCCCGCAGGAGCTCTGTGGTGCCATGGGCATCACCCACAGACCCATAGGACCCCCGCTGACCCCCCCCAACATCCCCATGGGAGTCCCATAGCGCCTCGGTCACCCCACAGCCTGCAGGGACAGACCCACAGACCCATAGGACCCACATGGGGTCCTCAGCATCCCCCACAGGGACCCCCCTGAACCATCCATGGGGACACCCGTGAGGGGTCTTTGGCCCCATGGGGACCCCAAGCTCCCCATGGAGACGCCAACCTCCCATAGGAACACATGGGGGGGTCCCACGGGCTCTCAGACCCAAACCCCACAACCTGAGCATCCAGTGACCCCCAGAGGGGGACAAGTTGGGGTGAGCCAGACCCACACCCCCCAAAACCAGCCAGGGTCCTCTGTGTGTGTGTGTGTATCCCACCCAGTCAGGCCACTTCCAGGGGGTCACCCCAGTGCATTGTGGGAAACTCCCCATCACCACCATGGGGCGGTGGGATGGAGCCTTGGGGGGGGGGGGGGGGGGGCTCGCCCCCCATGGGGGCTGGCACAAGGCCCCATGCCAAGGCCGGGAGGGGCTGGGGGGGGCCCGCCTGGGTGCTGGTGCATGATGTCAGGCAGGGGCGGGAGCTGGCGCAGGTAGATAAAGCCGTGGAGAACAGGAATCCCCGGTCCGGCGGGGCGGGAGGGTGCCGGGACACGGCGGGAGCCTGCAGGTAGGAACGGGGCCGGGATGGGCCCCCCCGCTTCCCCCCGGAGCCGTGGGGCTGTGGGGACAGCCCCGGATATCGGCCCCATCCCATCCGCACGACCCCCGCCCCCCGCTGCCCCTCAACTTCTTCCCTCCCACCTTCCTCCCGGCTCTTCCTCCTCCTCTGCCCGCCCCACCACGGCCCCATTGCTGCTGCCCCACAGCCTCGGCAACCACCGGCACCTCTGACCACAGCTGGGGGTCCTGGCTCCTCACCCCAGAGCCCTGCTGGCCCCAAGCCCCCTGCCCTATAGCCCTGGTGGCCCTGGGCCCCTGTGTCCTAATCCTGGTGGCTCTGGGAGCTTGCCCTATAGCCCTGGTGGCCCTGGGACCCCATCCCTTAGCCTGAACGTCCTCCAGTCCCCCTGCCCCACAGTTCTGTTGGTCCTGGGAGCCCATCCCTTAGACTTGGCGGCCCTGGGACCCTGTCCCCTAAACCCAGTGGCCCCTGGTTCCCCTGCTCCATAACCCTGGTGGCCCTGGTCCCCTTGACCCACAGCCCCTGGTCCCCCCCCGCTGTTTGTGCCAGACCCTGTGGACAGCCTATGGTCCCCCATCATCGTCACCATCCCCTCAGAGCCCTGTGTCACCGCCGCCGGGACAAAGGCTGCCATCGGGGTGACCTGAGGCCACGGTGATGGGCTGGCGGGTTGGTGGCAGGGCTGTGCCATTGACCCAGCACCCTGTGGGCTCCCCTGTCTGTCACGTCCCCATCAGCCGCCCCAGTGTCCCCTGTGTGGGTCTTCCACCACATCCCACCTCAGGCAGCATCACCCCACATGACCCCATCTGTCCCTATGGCCCTGTGCTCGCCGTGGGGCCTGGCCAGGCAGGGACACCCCATCCCGGTCCCTCCAGCACAGCCAGGGCAGGGATGGGGATGTGGTGGGGACAGGGATGAGGGTGCTGATGGCATTGGTCCTGCCTGGTCCCGGACTTGGACCCTGAGCAGGCCAGGGAGCAGGAGACGGGCACGGGGACAGGCAGGGGATGGGGATGGGTGAATGTTTAACCTGGTCCTGTGAGTCAGCCTGGGGCTGATGGGACCTGGTGTTGGTGTTCCCACAGCTGGTGGCTATGGGACCCCATCCCTTAGGTTCAGTGGCCCTGGGACCCCCATCCCTTAGGTTCAGTGGCCCTGGGACCCCATCCCTTAGGTTCAGTGGCCCTGGGACCCCATCCCTTAGGTTTGGTGGCCCTGGGACCCCATCCGTTAGGTTTGGTGGCCCTGGACCCCATCCCTTAGATTCAGTGGCCCTGGGACCCCATCCCTTAGGTTTGGTGGCCCTGGACCCCATCCCTTTGGTTCAGTGGCCCTGGACCCCATCCCTTAGGTTCAGTGGCCCTGGGACCCCATCCCTTAGGTTTTATGGCCCTAGGACCCCATCCCTTTGATTCAGTGGCCCTGGGACCCCATCCCTTAGGTTCAGTGGCCCTGGGACCCCATCCCTTAGGTTCGGTGGCCCTAGGACCCCATCCCTTAAGTTCAGTGGCCCTGGGACCCCATCCCTTAGGTTTTATGGCCCTGGGACCCCATCCCTTTGGTTTCATGGCCCTGGTCCCCATCCCTTAGGTTCGGCGGCCCTGGGACCCCATCCCTTTGATTCAGTGGCCCTAGGACCCCATCCCTTAGGTTTTGTGGCGCTGGGACCCCATCCCTTAGGTTCAGTGGCCCTGGGACCCCATCCCTTAGGTTCGGTGGCCCTGGGACCCCATCCCTTAGGTTCAGTGGCCCTAGGACCCCATCCTTTAGGTTCAGTGGCGCTGGGACCCCATCCCTTAGGTTCGGTGGCCCTGGGACCCCATCCCTTAGGTTCAGTGGCCCTAGGACCCCATCCCTTAGGTTCAGTGGCCCTGGGACCCCATCCCTTTGATTCAGTGGCCCTGGGACCCCATCCCTTAGGTTCGGTGGCCCTGGACCCCATCCCTTTGGTTTTATGGCCCTGGACCCCATCCCTTAGGTTCAGTGGCCCTGGGACCCCATCCCTTAGTTTCGGTGGCTGTGGTCCCCGTGCCCCATAGCTCGGTGCTGGGTCGTGCTGGCGGGCTCCGTGCGTGCATTACGTGTGCCACGTGCCGACGGCCGCGCCGAGCGGTGCCGTGGGGCTCCCCATGGCGGGGACATCGCAACCGGGGTCCGTGCTCCCCCCGCCCCTCCCCTCCGGACCCCGCGTGGGCACCGGCACCGGGGGCGAGGGGAGCCGGGGCCGGCGGCGGAGCTCGGGGCCGTTCCCACGGCGGAGCCCGGCCCGGATGCCAGCGCGGGGAGGTGCGGAGGGGAGCGGCCCCAGAACCGGTTTGGCCGGACCCGGGGCCGTGCCTGGGCTCGGTCCCCGCCGCTCTCCGCTTCCTGCTCCCCCGCTGCAGCCCCGCGCTGCTGCTCCCGTCTCGTTTCGGCCCCGTTGGTCCGGTCCGGGCTCCATCACCCTGGGTTGGTGGCTCCGCTGTCACCAAGTGGTGCCCGGGGGGTGATGGTGGGGCTGCGCTCTCGCTCCTGTCCCCTCCCGTCCCCCCCCCCCCAGCCCGGTTCCTGCCTCGGGATGGGGCTGGAAGGACGGGGACACCCCGGCCCTGGGCAGCCCCTCGGGGCTTGGCCCCAGCTGGCTCAGGGCACCGCAGGCTGAGTCACGACGCGTCTGGGCGCCGGCAAAACACACCCCGGGGTGCGGGGGGAACCTGGGTGTTGTCCCGATAATGCCATGGATGGGGGGGCTCAGCAGAGCAGCCTCCGGGAGCCCCCCGGGCCGGGCAGCGCGGAGCAGGAAGAGCGGGATGGGGGCGAGGGACCCCCCGAGCTCAAGCGCTCCCAGCCCCTCTTCATCCATGGCAGCAGGTAGGTGGGGCGGTGGGGGGGGATCCCCTGTGGATGCTGGGGGGGGAGGGGTCAGCGCGTTGAGATGAGGGGTGCTCAGCGCTCAGCCCCTCTCTGCCCGCAGCCGGCAGCCTCTGGAAGAGGAGCCGCGGGCCTCGTCGCTCCCCAGCATTCCCAACCCCTTCCCCGAGCTCTGCAGCCCCTCCAACTCCCCCATCCTCAGCAGCCCGGCCCTGGGACAGGGCCCCCCCCGCGAAGGAGCCTTGCACGTGAGTTGTGTGGCACAGAGAGGGCAGGGGATGGGGATGGGATGGGGATGGGGGATGGGGATGGGATGGGGATGGGGATGGGATGGAGATGGGATGGGGATGGGATGGGGATGGGGATGGGGATGGGGATGGGGATGGGATGGGGATGGGGATGGGATGGAGATGGGATGGGGATGGGATGGGGATGGGGATGGGGATGGGGATGGGGATGGGGATGGGATGGGGATGGGGATGGGGATGGGGACGGGGATGGGATGGGGAGGGGGATGGGGGATGGGGATGGGATGGGGATGGGATGGGATGGGGATGGGATGGGGATGGGGATGGGATGGGGATGGGGATGGGGATGGGGACGGGGATGGGATGGGGAGGGGGATGGGGATGGGGATGGGATGGGGATGGGATGGGATGGGGATGGGATGGGGATGGGGATGGGATGGGGAAGGTGGATGGGGATGGGGATGGGGATGGGGACGGGGATGGGATGGGGAGGGGGATGGGGATGGGGATGGGATGGGGATGGGGTTGGGATGGGGATGGGAATGGGGATGGGATGGGGATGGGATGGGGATGGGGATGGGATGGGGATGGGGACGGGGATGGGATGGGGAGGTGGATGGGGATGGGGATGGGGATGGGGACGGGGATGGGATGGGGAGGTGGATGGGGATGGGGATGGGATGGGGATGGGGTGGGGATGGGGATGGGATGGGGATGGGGATGGGATGAGGAGGGGGATGGGGATGGGGTTGGGGGTGGGGATGGGGATGGGGATGGGGACAGGGGTGGGGACAGGGATGGGGACGGGGATAGGGATGGGGAGGGGGACGGGGATGGGGAGGGGGATGGGATGGGGAGGGGGATGGGGGATGGGGATGGGATGGGAATGGGGATGCTCCTGACCTCGGTCAGGGTCCTGATGCCGTGGCCGTGCAGGTGGTGAAGGTGTTCGGGGAGGACGGCGCCTGCCGCTCGCTGGAGGCGGCAGCGGGGACCACAGCGCGGCAGCTCTGCGAGACGCTGGTGCGGAGGACGCGGGCGCTGCAGGACCACAGCTGGGCTCTGGTTGAGCTGCACCAGCACCTGGGCCTGGGTGAGCGGCTGGGGTGGTGCTGAGCGCGGCGCTGGGGTCCTCGGGGTGAGGATGTGGGGCTGATGGATGAGGCCGGAGGAGGGCAAGGGGATGCTGCGAGGGCTGGAGCAGCTCTGCTCTGGAGCCAGGCTGAGAGAGCTGGGCTGGGGCAGCCTGGAGAAGAGAAGGCTCCTGAAGGGGAGACCTGAGAGCAGCTCCAGTGCCTGAAGGGGCTGCAGGAAAGCTGGAGAGGGGCTTGGGACAAGGGATGTAGGGACAGGCCAAGGGGAATGGCTTTAACCTGCCAGAGGGGAGACTGAGATGAGCTCTTAGGCAGAAGCTCTTCCCTGTGAGGGTGCTGAGGCGCTGGCACAGGGTGCCCAGAGAAGCTGTGGCTGCCCCATCCCTGGCAGTGTCCGAGGCCAGGTTGGACACAGGGGCTTGGAGCAAGCTGCTCCAGTGGAAGGGGTCCCTGCCTGTGGCAGGGGTTGGAGCTGGATCCGCTCTAAGCTCCCTTCAAGCCAAACCAGGCTGCGGCTCCATGATTCCATGGCACTCTGTGGTGCTGGGATCCCCCCCCTGCAGCCCCACTGAGCCCTGTCCCCCCCGCAGAGCGGTGCCTGGAGGACCACGAGTTGGTGCTGGAGGTGCAGAGCTCTTGGCCCCCTGGCGCTGACGCCCGCTTCGTCTTCCGCAAGAACTTCGCCAAGTACGAGCTCTTCAAGAGCCCCGCGGTAGGCGCCTGCACCCAGGGGTCCCCAGCACCCCAGGAGCACCCCGAGCCCCTCATAGCTCAACCCTGACCCCCTCTCCCCCCCCCCCCCAGCAGTCCCTGTTCCCCGAGGTGATGGTGTCCAGCTGCCTGGAGGCGAACAAGAGCATGGCACACTCCGAGCTCATCCAGGTACGGAGCCAACGTGCCCGGATGGGCTGCGTCCCAGCGTTGGGTGTATGGAACCCCACCGTGCCATGGGGCCCCCACCGTGCCCCTCAGCCCTCTTCTCCCCCCAGAACTTCCTCAACTCCGGGAGCTGCCCCGAGGTCCAGGGCTTCCTGCAGCTGCGGGAGCCGGGCCGCAAGGTCTGGAAGCGGTTCTACTTCTCGCTGCGCCGCTCGGGGCTCTATTACTCCACCAAAGGCACCTCCAAGGTGAGGATGAGGCAGGGAGCACCATGGGGAGGGGGTGCAGCGGGGCCAGCCCTGACCCCTGTCCCCATCCCAGGACCCCCGGCACCTCCAGTACTTCGCTGACCTCTCCGAGTCCAACATCTACTACGTGACGCAGGGCAAGAAGCACTACGGGACACCCACTGAGTTTGGCTTCTGCATCAAGGTGGGGATGTGGCTCCTGCCTGGGGGGCCTGGGCCTTCTCTGTCCCCTTCCTTGCCAAGGGGGGGGTCTCTGCTCCCCACCAAGGCCCATCCGGGGCTGCTCCGTGACGGCTTCAGCCTCTCCCCACAGCCCTACAAGGTGCGGAGTGGGGTGAAGGGCCTGAAGCTGCTCTGCAGTGAGGATGAGCAGAGCCGGAGCTGCTGGATGGCGGCTTTCCGCCTCTTCAAGGTGAGCCCCGGGCACAACGAGGTGTTACTGGTCCCATGCTGGGGGGGGATAGCAATTGGGATACTGGGGTATGCTGGTGGGTGCTGGGGAGATACCAGTGGGATGCTGGGGAGATACCAGTGGGATGCTGGGGAGATACCAGTGGGATGCTGGGGGGATACCAATGGGATGCTGAGGGGATGCTGAAGGGATGCTGGAGGGATGCTGGGGGGATGCTGGGGAGATACCAATGGGATGCTGGTGGGATACTGGGGATATACCAATATGCTGGGGATATACCAATGGGATGCTGGGGATATACCAATGGGCTGCTTGAGGGATGCTGGGGATATACCAATGGGATGCTGGGGGGATGCTGGTGGGATGCTGGGGAGATACCGGTGGGACACTGGAGGGATGCTGGCGGGGATACCAATGGGATGCTGGGGAGATGCTGGAGGGGTGATGGGGAAATGCTGGAGGGATGCTGAGGGGATACCAATGGGATGCTGGGGTGATGCTGGTGGGATGCTGGGGGATACCAATGGGATGGTGGGGGGATGCTGGTGGGATGCTGGGGAGATACCAGTGGGACGCTGGAGGGATGCTGGGGGGGATACCAATGGGATGGTGGGGGGATGCTGGTGGGATGCTGAGGGGATACCAATGGGATGGTGGGGGGATGCTGGTGGGATGCTGGGGAGATACCAGTGGGACGCTGGAGGGATGCTGGGGGGGATACCAATGGGATGGTGGGGGGATGCTGGTGGGATGCTGAGGGGATACCAATGGGATGCTAGGGGGATGCTGGAGGGATGCTGGGGGGATACCAATGGGATGGTGGGGGATGTCCCCATCACTGTGGTACAAGAGATGCAGGATGGGTGTCCCCATCCCCACACGGGGTGGATGTGGAGGTCTCCGTCCCCCTCCCCTTGCACTGTGGGGCATTCCCCCTCACGGGGCTGCCCCCCAGTATGGCATGCAGCTCTACCGCAACTACCAGCAAGCCCAGGCGCGGCTGAGCCAGCCCCACTGGATCGGCCCCACGCCCCTGGTGAGTGCCAGTGACACCCCCCCCCCCCTCACCCTGCAGCCCCCATCCCATGGGGGACCCCTCCATCACCCCCCGGTCCCTCGCAGCGGAGCGTCTCGGACAACGCGCTCGTGGCCATGGACTTCTCGGGGTGCACGGGCCGGGTGATCGAGAACCCCAGCGAGGTGCTGAGCGTGGCCCTGGAGGAGGCGCAGGCCTGGAGGGTGAGTTTTGGGGTGTAGGATGAGGGGTCGTACAACCCCCCCCCCCGGCAAACCCCATCCTAACGCCTTGCCCCTTGCTTTGCATGGCCAGAAGAAGACGACGCACCGGTACAGCCTGCCGGCAGCGTGCCACAGCTCCCCGCTCAGCGCCGGTGAGCAGCACCGTGTGGTGCCATGGGGTGGATGTGTGTGTGTGGGGGGGGGGTGTCCCTTCATGGGGTTGGGGTCCCCCTGCCCCGAGCCTGACACCCGTGTCCCCGCAGCGATCCATCGCACCCAGCCCTGGTTCCATGGGCGCATCTCCCGGGAGGACACGCAGCAGCTCATCGGCCGGCAGGGCTTGGTGGATGGGTATGGGGCCATGGGGTGAGGGGGGCCCTGGGGACCATAGGGGGGGGGACATGATTCCATGCATGGGGACTCGACCCCCTGGGCACTGCAGGGATGTGGGGAGCTGTGGGATCCCAGGGCACCCCCCCCCCCAGGGTTTACATGGGATCTGCAGCCCGTGGGGGGCTTGGGAAATGGGATTGGGGGGGGGGAACACTTGGGAAGGGGGGGATGGGGGGGGAGAGGACCCATGGGTTTTGGGGGGGGCTCAGTGACCCCCCCCCCGGTGCTCGCAGCGTGTTCCTGGTGCGGGAGAGCCAGCGCAACCCCAAGGGCTTCGTCCTGTCCCTGTGCCACCTGCAGCGGGTCAAGCACTATCTCATCCTGCCGGTGAGTGCCGCAGCAGGGCCGGGGGACCCCGCAGTGTGTGTGTGTGTGTGTATGGGGGGGTCCTGACCCTGCACCCCCCTCCATGGCAGAGCGAAGAGGAGGGGCGGCTTTACTTCACCATGGACGACGGGCAGACGCGCTTCGCCGACCTCATCCAGCTCGTGGAGTTCCACCAGATCAACCGCGGCATCCTGCCCTGCAAGCTGCGGCACTACTGCACCTGCGTGGCCCTCTGAGCCCGGCACCGGCGCAGCACCAGCACAGCACCGCCACGGCACAGCACCGCCATGGCACAGCACCGCCATGGCACAGCCCGGCACCGGCACAGCACCAGCACAGCACCGCCATGGCACAACACCGCCACGGCACAGCACCGCCATGGCACAGCACCGCCATGGCACAGCCCGGCACCGGCACAGCACCAGCACAGCACCGCCATGGCACAACACCGCCACGGCACAGCACCGCCACGGCACAGCACCGCCACGGCACAGCACCACCATGGCACAGCACCACCATGGCACAGCACCGCCACGGCACAGCACCGCCACGGCACAGCACCGCCACGGCACAGCTCCGCCATGGCACAGCCTGGCACTGCCACCATGGCTCGGCTGTGCCGGAGCAGGATGGGCCCAGCTCGGTGCAGGGAACACGACGGCTCCTGCACCGCTGACCACCCCCGGTGCTGGCTTTGCCCGTGGGGTCCTGGGGTGCCACCGCCACCGGGTCCCCCCCAACTCAAGCACTTTGTCCACCCCCCATCCCCACAGCGCCAGCCCCGCGTGTCCCCGGGTTGGGGGGGGGGGGGGGGGGGGGGGCCTGGAGCTCCTCTCACTCCCAGGCCAGGCGGGTTTGGGGGTCCCAGGGGAAGGGGGTGCAGGGGGCACCCAGCACCCGGTGTCCCCGTCCCCCCCCCGTCCCCACAAGGCCAGTTCAACTGTGACGTGTTTTATACCACTGAGAATAAAGGTTATTTTTGCAGAGCTCCCGTCTCAAAACGGGGGTGCTGGGGGGGGGTCCCCGTGTCCTCACAGTGCCCCGGGTCCTACACAAAGACCCCTCTGTGCACCACGTGCGGCTCGGCCACGCGGCCACAGGCAAATCCCGGGATGGGGATTAACGGGAGAGGATTAAGAGCCTGGATCTGGGGGGGGGGGGGGGGGGGGCTGGAGAAGCCGCTATTAAAGGTTGGGGGGCCTGGAGCAGGGCTGTGACCCCCCCCCCCCGGTTCCAATGGCTCCCAAGACGGTGCTGATCACCGGCTGCTCCTCCGGCATCGGGCTGGCGCTGGCGGCGCGGCTGGCGCGGGACAAGCAGCGCCGCTTCCGAGGTGAGCGGGGTGCAAGGGGGGGACCCCCCCATTGCCAAAAGTGGGGGGGGGATCCTGCGTGGGGCTGAGCCGCCTCTGCCGCAGTCATTGCCACCATGCGGGACACGGGCAGGAGCGCGGCGCTGGTGGCCGCCGCGGGGCCGGCGCTGGGTACCACTCTGCACATCAAGCAGTTGGATGTGTGTGATGAAGGCTCCATCCGCGCCTGCGTCGACAGCATCCCCGGGAGGCACATCGACGTCCTGGGTGAGCCCCGGACACCCCTGCCACCGCCGCACCGGAGCCCCATGCCCTAGGCACTGTCAGTGCCATGAGAGTCCCATGCTGGGGACCCTCTGTGTCAGGGAGTCCCCATGGACATCCTGCACCAGCAAAACCCTGACCCCATGCACCAGGGACCCCCCATTCTGGGGACATCCTGCATCGGGGACCCCCATTATGGGGACATCCTGCATCATGGACCCCCATTCTGGGGACATCCTGCATCAGGGACCCCCATTCTGGGGACATCCTGCATCAGAGACCCCCATTCTGGGGACATTCTGCACCAGGGACCCCCCATTCTGGGGACATCCTGCATCAGGGACCCCCATTCTGGGGACATTCTGCACCAGGGACCCCCCATTCTAGGGACATTCTGCACCAGGGACCCCCCATTCTGGGGACATCCTGCATCAGGGACCCCCATTATGGGGACATTCTGCACCAGGGACCTCCATTCTGGAAACATTCTGCATCACGGACCCCCATTCTGGGGACATCCTGCACCAGGGACCCCCATTCTGGGGATGTCCTGCACCAGGGACCCCCATTCTGGGATGTCCTGCACCAGGGACCCCCATTCTGGGGATGTCCTGCATCAGGGACCCCCATTCTGGGGACGTCCTGCACCAGGGACCCCCATTCTGGGGACATCCTGCACCAGGGACCCTCTGTGCATTGGGGACACCCTGTGCTAGGACCCCCCCAGTGCCCTGGGTCTGTCCATGCTAAGCATGTCTCATGCAGTGGTGGGGATGCTCCACACCAGGTACCCCCAATGCCAGGGGCATCTTGCACCAGGGACCCTCAGTGCACTGGGGACCTTCTGTGCTAGGTGCCAGGGACCCTCCAAACCCAGGGCACCCCATACTGGGCACCGTTTGGGCACTGGGGACCCCCTCACCCCCGGCACAGGGGATGCCCCAGTGATGTCCTGTGCCCCCAGTCAGCAACGCCGGGGTGGGCATGGTGGGACCGCTGGAGTGCCAGAGCCTGGCGGCCATGCAGAGCCTCATGGACACCAACTTCTTCGGCCTCGTCCGCCTGGTCAAGGAGGTGCTGCCCGACATGAAGCGGCGCCGCGGGGGGCACATCGTGGTCATCAGCAGCATCATGGGCCTGCAGGGTAAACTGATGGGGAGGGGGGCAATGGGGCACCCCCAATGGGAATAACCCACATCCCCCTCCATGCCCTGACCAGGACCCTCCACCCCATCCAGGCATCGTCTTCAATGACATCTACGCAGCCTCCAAGTTCGCCGTGGAGGGGTTCTGCGAGAGCCTCGTGGTGCAGGCGCGGCGCTTCGACGTGGCGTGAGTGCAAGGGGCCCGGCAGCGCCGGCACCCCCCCCCCCCCCCCAAAAGGGGCAGGGGAGGGTTTGGGGGTACCGGGGTCCCCAGTGCCCTGTCCCTGGGCAGGATCAGCCTCGTGGAGCCGGGCCCGGTGACGACGGAGTTCGAGACGAAGCTGTACCAAGAAGCCGAACGCGCCGACTACTCGCAGACCGACCCCGAGACGGCCGAGATCTTCACCCAGCTCTACCTGAGGAACTCCAGGGACGTCTTCGCCAGCCTGGGGCAGACCCCCGAGGACATCGCGGAGGTGACCAAGGAGCAGGGGCTGTCCCCTGCCCGCGCTGGGCTGTTTAGAGGGGCCTCAATTAGTCCTAATGAGGAGCAGCGGGGCTGGGGTCCCACCCTGAGAGCTCCTTCCTCCTGAGCTCCATCCTCATAGGGCTGAGCCTGGCTGGGAATGGGGCTGGGGTGAGATGGGGATGGGATGGGGATGGGGATAGGACTGGAAGTGGTTGAGGGTGGGGATAGGATGGGAGTGGGAAGGAGGTGGGAATGGAAATAGGGATGGGGATAGGATGGGATCAGAATGGGATTGGGGATGGGGATGGGATGGGGATGGGGATAGGACTGGAAGTGGTTGAGGATGGGGATAGGATGGGAATGGGAAGGAGGTGGGAATGGAAATAGGGATGGGGATAGGATGGGATCAGAATGGGATTGGGGATGGGGATGGGAATGGGATGGGGATAGGACTGGAAGTGGGTGGGGATGAGGATAGGATGGGAATTGGAAGGAGGTGGGAATGGGAATGGAAATAGGAATGGGGATGGGATGGGATTGGAATGGGATTGGGGATGGGGATGTGGTGCAGACAGGATGGAGAAGGGATGGGGATAGGAATGGGACGGGAATGGAAATAGGGATGGGGATAGGATGGGATCAGAATGGGTTTGGGGATGGGAATGTAGTGCAGACAGGATGGAGAAGGGATGGGGATGGGAATGGGAATGGGATGGGAATGGGAAGGGGAATGGAAATAGGGATGGGGATAGGATGGGATCAGAGTGGGACTGGGGATGGGGATGTGGTGCAGATAGGATGGAGAAGGGATGCGGATGGGAATGGGAAGGGGAAAGGAAATTGGAATGGGGATAGAATAGGATCAGAATGGGATCAGAGGAATTGGAATGCAGTGCAGGTAGGATGGAAAGGGGATGAGGATGAGAACGGGATGAGAATGGGGATGGGGTGGGATGAGATGCGATGGACATAGGGATGGGAGGGGAAGAAGCTGGAGATGGGGATAGGATGGGAGTGAGAAGGGGATGCAATGGGGGTGGAGGTGGGGGGCTGATGGGCACAGCCGCGTCCCCACGCGCAGCACACGCTGCGGGTGATCGCGGCGCCACGGCCGCCCTTCCGGCACCGGACCAACGCGGCGTTCACGCCGATGGCGGCACTGAAACAAGCCGACCCCGGTGGCACCCTCATCACCGGCGCCTTCTACCAGCTGGTGTTCAAGCACGACGCGGTGCTGAGGCTCGGCCTCCGCGCCATCCGCCTGCTCCGCTGGAACATCCGCAAGGTGAAGGAGGGAGCCCGGCTCCTGGGCCTCAGATAGCCCCATAGGGGGGCAGCTCGGAGGTGGGGGGCCGGGACCCGTGTGGGGTTTCACTTCCTGCTCCCAGCCCCACATCGTGCCGCATTAAAGCCGGGAGTGGTGTTTTTAAGCCGCGCCGGTGAGCAGCAGAGAGCAGCGGCTGTGATGGTGCTGGGAAGGGCACCCAGCGCCCCACATCCATGGGTACATGGCACCCCGAGGCCCTTGGGTTGGTCATCGTCCCCCGATGGCTGCATCCTCTGTCCCCATGGGCACTGCTGTGGGACTGGCAATGCCCCTGGTGGGGGGCTCCGGTGTCACCCCCCCATCAGCACGGAGCTGTAGGGAAACGGGTGCAGGGTGCAGAGGGTGTGTGGCGTGCTCAAGGTGCATGGAGGGTGCATGGGGGATGCCAAGGGATGCAGGATGGACCTGGAGATCAGGATGGGATGTGTGCAGACAGGATGGAAAGGGGATGAGGATGGGATGGGGTGGGCATAGGGATGGGATGGGAAGAAGCTGGGGATAGGGGTAGGATGGGAATGTGAAGGGGATGGAATGGGAACAGGGATGGAGGTGAAGCTGGGCTGCAGACAGGATGGAAAGGGGATGGGGATGAGGTGGGATGGGCATAGGGATAGGATGGGAGTGAGAAGGAGATGGAATGGGAACAGGGATGGAGTTGGAGCTGAGGTGCAGATGGAATAGGAATGGGGGTGGAGGTGGAGCTGGGCTGAAGACAGGATGGAAAGGGGATGAGGATGAGATGGGATGG